TTCTTGGGAGGGTCGATAAAAGTTGGAGGTGCTGTACGTATAGATGCTGTGCTACCGTTGAGATTTTTCCTCAAGTTGAGAGTCTCCGCGCTTCTAACTTTTTGCAGAGTTCTATTTTTGATATTATCGATCGTTGGGAGAGTCGGTGGAAGATTCGGCATGATGGGCTCGGGAGATGGTGGTGTGTCTTGAGGCTTTGGAATTGGAGTTTCTGTGCTGTTTGTCGAGGGAGGATTTGGTTGGCCGGTCCCCCACCACGATAACCAGTAAGATGACGTGGTCTTCGGTTCCACGGCGTCGGCGGCGTTTTGTGCCGTATCGTTTTTTGGTAAGTCCTTGGATTTTCCTGTATCGTTATTTCCATTCACCAGAGACTTTTGTTGCTCTTCGTTTCCGGTGCTAGTACTGGCCCCGGGCTCTTGAGATTGCGAATCTGAAGTCGAGGTTTCAGGTGCGTTTGTTAACTGAATTGTCGGTTTTGGCTGTGATAGGACCTTGGACATGGGACTAGATACTGATTTTCGAGGCTGGGAAGGTGATCGTGGCGGTCGTGATGGAGCTGAAAAGGAAGCGGTTCTGGCAGCAGTTTCCTGAGCTACTTGTGTGCTCGCCGTCGCTTTCGAGCTGGTTAACCGAGAGAGGTTCGCAGGGAGACGTTGTGGAAGAGTCTGGGCGACGGCATGTAGGGTTTCCGGAACCTGAGTCTGTAGGATGGAATTGAAAGGAAGCAGGAGAGGCGGTTAGTTATTTCTAGCGCCAAAATGGCATGTGTTTAAGGAGAGCGATTGTAGTACCTTTACTTTGTGAACAACGGAAGCAGTTGATTCTAGGGCCGATGCAGCGGATCGGGACATTGTGGAGCCTGCCGCACTGGCGTCATCCCGGTGTGTAGTGGTTGTTGCTTGGGATGTTACCGAGGTAGTTGAAGATGCAGCGGATGGGTGCTGCTGGGGGTTATTATTGTTCGTGGTGGCAGAAGAAGAAGAGGGAGAGGGCTTTTTGGAGCGTTTCCTGCTCATAGAAACGCGATCGCAGCAGCGGGCGATGGGGCGGTAAGAGTGGCCGGTTGCTTAGTGAGTAGACTGTCCGAGAGTCATGCGAAAAAGAGATGAGTGGACGGTATACGGTATTGTTGAGAATGAAGGCTGATGGCGATGAGGATGTTGGGGAAGAGGGTGATAAAGAGCCGATGATTGGGGATGAGGCTGGGGTCTGCGTCAGTGCAGTGGGCCCTTGTACTTTGCCCGGTTGGCTTGTGATTGAATCTGTCGTTATGATTTGCCAGATGAGATCACTGAAGCCTCCTTCTTCTTTTGATGTTAGCGTAGAACAAATGGTACTCGGAATAATAGGAAATATAATATTATTGACGAGATTGATGTTAGTGATGTTCGAGGTCGATGTGATGAAGATAACACCGCGCGATGATGACGATGTCCCGTCTTATCACCGACCGTTAAACCCGACAAGGATCTCATCCCATCACGTGATTGAACGTACACAAGCTTAGTCATCCGATCAACAAGCCACCCAAACATCCACACAAACACCAGCCGACTGGCCGTAATCCCGCCTCCTTCGACGAACCAGCCAGGCACCCACAAACGCAGCCAATCAATCAGTCAACCAGCTTGCCCGAAAGGACCCCGTCTTTCCCTCTACACTTCCTCTTGCTCGCCATCATAGTTCCTGAACATCGCATTCCTCACCCTTGCCCACGATTCCGATATCATGCGCCATGACGCGCCACTCAGCCATTGCCGTCATCATAAACAAACCGCTGCGTAGATAGAGACACACCATTCCCGCAATCATCAACCACCGCCGATTAGCTTGGCTCAGCCGGCTCGCCCGTCCATAAACTCAACCAACATCTCTCCCCTCCGCTGCTAGTGCTAGTCGCACGCACCTCTTTTCCAAATGCCGCCACCCAGGATAATGCTTGAGCTATCGGTTTTCATGGAGCAGAACCCCAACGAGCTGCACTACATGCAATGGCCCACCTGCGACCTCTACGACGCTATCGTTTGGTCGCCGAAATCTAGCCACGAGGGGTACCTGATAGACTTGTTGGACGTTTTAGAGAAAGGCCCTTTCAATGTAAAGGGAACGATCAAAACCATCCCCGATGACCTCAAGGAATTTGGTAAACAGCTACCCTTGTCTGTTGTTTCTGGTGCTGGTGAATGCTCCTCGCTAACACGGAGGACAAACTCAACTCTAGCTCTCAAACCCGATCTCGCCAATCAGGAAATCCAAGTCGCAAACGTCAGAAGGTGGTCAATTGAACGACTCAGCGATGAGAAAATCGTCATTTGGGCGCTGGGAAATGCTGCTTGGTACGGTATTCACCCTGCGTCCGATTATAGAGAGATATACAACATTATGCTCCAAAAAGCCGCCATTTACAATTTTATCGCCGATAAATATGGTCATATCTCTTCAAAGGGCGCACGGGTTAAGACGGCAATGTCGCAGCTATATCTGGAGGTAGTTAGTCTTACTATATTTGGTTCAAGTACACTTTTAGACTAAACTTTTGGGTGGGTTAGATGTCCGAGAATCCAGTGCTAGGTACTCCGAAAGATTGCGAAAGGCTTGTCGAAACACACCGTCGCTTCATCATCGCCCAACTTCTCGAGGAAACCATGCATGCAAAGTATAAGCGTACCCCGTTTTGGGGTTACATGTCCGAAAACCATGCTGTATGTTCCCTCTATAAATTACGAATTTCAAGGTTGGTAGAGCTAATGAGAGTCTGGAATAGGATGAGATTGAGGAAATAGAGACTACTATAATGAAAGTTCAACATGAACTTGAGAATCAGGACAAACGAAAAGCTGAAAGACTCACCGAGAAATACCCACCACCCCCCCCTCCGGAATCGCCCTCGCCTCCACCCCGGAGAACCACTCGAAATCGTTCGGGCACCACTAGCAGTGGTGGCTCCGAGACAGGAAAAAGTTCGAAACGGAAATCGCGCGATGATTCTACAGACGAGCCGGGACGCCGCCGTAGAAAGACTGGTTCGGATCGGCCCACTCGTAAGCCGACGCTAGGCAAGACTACTATCGTTAGACTTGCCCAGAAGTCACGGCGTTCGGACCGAATAATCACCGCATCATCACCCTCTCCTGAACCTGCGCCTTTGGGTTCACACCAAAAATTGGTACTTTCTGGGAGAGTAACACGTTTGACACGGTCGTCACAGGCGTCACCTTCATCTGCTGCGAGCCCACCGTCACCCATGGAATACGATTTCGTTCCTCCCGGAATCGAGAAACCTACGATTGATAAGCCGGTACCGAAACCTATTGAACCCCCACCGCCAAAACCTTCCGTTGATACACTGAAAGAGCTCATCAAAGTGAAGACGAACGCTGTTCCTGCGAATAAGTTATCGCGTCTTCCAGGTTCACGACCGTCCTCGAAATCGATAACCCCACCGACCAAGAAAGTTACTAGGTCGGTAGCGGCGGCGACCCCACCCGACCCCATCCCGTCAACCTCCCAACCAACCACAAAGCCCTCCAAAAAGAACCCAAAGAAAGCACAAGTCTCATCTACTGCAGTAATCCCCCTCGATGAGAACCATCCCGGATACGATGACCTCCGCGATCAAGCCATTTCAAAGCTAACTCAGCTACACTCACTCTATCAAAAGTGTTCGAAAGCCGAAAATGGATCTGATTACGAGAAACTGATGGAATTAGCGGACGAAAATACGGAATGGCGACGCCAGCATGGGTTGAAGCCGGTTTATATCGATGTTATATACGCTACAGGGTATTACACTGATGAGATCAAAGATTCAAGCTTGGTACGACGGGTACCGGGGACTGAGTACCTTGTTGATACAGCGGACTGGGATTTCGATACGGCGGTGGAGTTACTGCAAAATGTAAACCGGGGAACATATTTCCAGGAGCTTTTGCAACCTGTTAAGGAAGCGAAGCGGAATGCGAGGGTGAAGGGTGGGAACGGGAGTATGAAGGTTGGAAGGGGACGGCCGAGGAAGGTGATTGTAGCGCCTCCAGTAGAGGTAGAATCAGATGGTATTGAAAGTTCGATGTTAGGATTGAAGATTTCGAACGTACCACCGGGAATGTCGATGAAGGCTGCGGCGGCGGCTGCAGCGGCAGAGACAAGGTGGAAATGCATGGGGCATGATGAGAAGGGGAATGAATGTACCTTTGAGATCGAGGATGCTACAACGTTGGAAGGGGCGAGGAAGGCATCGGATCATTGGAGGACGTGTGAGTTGAGGATACATGCGACGGAAGAGGCGTTGGAGAAGAAGAAGGCAAATATAGAGCAGGCACAAAACGTTCTGCAGGATCAGCTGGTTCGTGATCCATGGACGAATTTAGAGTAAGTTTTTCCTGAATCTCTCTCTCGGTGGTTGCGTGGTTTGGGTGGAGGCTAATTAATTCGGGCTAGTCATCTGGTGACCTGGCTGGAAGGGAAGGCTAATAAGTCGAGGTCGTGGTTTCCCGCTGGAGTGTGCTGATGCAGACACAAACGGAGACGCTTCATCTAGAGGCAGATACTCAACCGAGTGCTTTGTAGATTTGGAGTTGGGCCCGGCGCCATAGTCCACTTTTTTTTTTTGTCTTTGTTTTTGGCGGTATACAGGATGGGGGAATGGGATATGGATAATGTCTTTTGTCAATGATGGTGCTTTGGCGTTGCTTTTATTTTCCTTTTTATCTGGCGGCAAGATTCTCTCTCTCTCTTCTTTTTATGAAAAGCTACGACTTCTAATATTATATACCCTGATGGTGTTTTTGTATCATGAATGTGATTGAAGGATGGATACTAGTTGTAACCGAGTAAATCAACTCCCCTCTTCAAACGGCTTTGAAAGTAATGAGCTATGACGATATACCTTTTCTTCGTCCAAGCTCATGGGACAAGATGATACAAAGGAAGATTTTGCAAATTAGGTAAGAAAAGTGGTGAGATTGATATTGTACAACTCTGATTGAATTGCAACTCAAGGCAAGATGGCCGAGTGGTTATGGCGTGTGACTCAAGCGCAAGCTTCATCAACTAAGTTGGTGTGTTCTCATGGGCTTAGCCCGCGGGGGTTCGAATCCCCCTCTTGTCAATATCTTTTTTGCATTTTTTTATATCTCGTTTTGTAGTCTATGTCTCTTATCGATACCACAAAAAAAAAAAAGCGATTTTGCAAATGTATGGCCTAAGGGGGGTTGGGTGGAAATAAGCTTGAACTCGTTCGGTGTAATTTTGAGATTAATATAACTTTGTGAAATTAAGTGATTGTATTCAAAGCCGATGCATATTATATCACTATCTAGCCAGTATTATTCGATTTATCCCATCTCTAGATCTATCGCATTAATTAAGTGTACCAGTGACGAAATTCAAAAGTCCGAAAGTAGAGCAGTTCAGTTCTAAGTGCAAATTCATATCGGGCAACGATTGCTTCGGGAGAAACTTGACACTAAGATATACCATACATGATGCAAGTTTGGAAGGCACAGGGTAAGTAAAGTTATAAAGCGTTTGATTGCAATGTTCGATCTAATTAATGAGGTATGCTATGCGAAGTGTTGCAACAAGTCCGTCTTCGAGCCGGGATGTTGGTCGCTATATCGGGTTTTGCTTTTTTTTTGTTTAAAAAAAAGTTGAAAATTCGCGACTGATCTTCTAGCACCGTTGCGAAAGAAATATCTTTACCCACCCTCCACAATACAATCAAAAGCGCACCCACAGGACGAATTCACACCCTTCGATACCTCACAGCACACATATATCATAAAGTTACAATGGCGAAAGCCAAATTACGACAGATGCTCGCCGCTGATAAGGGTAAAGTGCCCTACCTCGAGAAGCAGAAGAAACTGCAAAAGGAAGCAAACAAGCGAAAGAGAAAGCTTGCCGAGAAGGAGGCAGAAGAAGAAGGCGACGATTCTGGAGATGAGGGGTTGAATGAAGGTGGAGAAGGAGAAGATTGGGAGGATGAGAGTAGCGATGAAGAAGAAGAGAGGGTGATTGATGTCTCGAGACTCAACGATAGCGATTCAGATAGTGAGGGCGACGACGACGAAGATGAAGATAGTGAAGAAGATGAGGATGAGGATGAAGAGATGGAAGAGCCAAAACTCAATGGCAAGCATGATACATCAAAACCAACGACACAAGACGATGAGGAGGACGAGCAAGAGGAAGACGATGAAGACGTCCCGCTGTCCGAAGTCGACGAAGAGGACGAAGACCCTGAAGCAGATATTATCCCCCGCCAGAAACTTACAATAGATAACCACTCCGCACTTCTCTCCGCCCACGCCTCCATCGCCCTCCCCATCAAAAAATCCACTCCCTTCTCCCTCCACCATACATTGACCACGACCGACCCCGTCGAAATCAAAGATGTCCATGACGATCTCACCCGCGAGCTCGCATTCTACACACAAGCTCTCGACGCCGCCAAACGCGGCCGTGCGGCTTTACTATCCGAGGGCGCGCCGTTTACTCGTCCTACCGACTATTTCGCGGAAATGGTCAAGAGTGAGGAACATATGGGCAAGATCAAAGACAAGATGAAGGAGGAAGCTGCGCAGAAGCAGGCCTCCGCAGATGCGAAGCGGCAGAGAGATTTGAAGAAGTTTGGAAAGCAGGTGCAGGTTGCTAGGTTACAGGAACGGCAGAAAGAGAAGAGGGAGATGTTGGATAAGATTGCAGTTTTGAAGAGGAGTATGTCTTTCACCTCTTTTTTACTTTTCAATTCAACCTAGCTTTACGAAAGTTTGCTAATATAAATTTAGAACGAGCGGGTGCCGATCTGGGCGACGCACACGAAGATGATCCGTTCGATATCGCTATCGAGAAGGCTGCTAAAGCTACTGGTAGGGATAGAAGAGGCGGTGGTAGTGGGGGTCCACCGAATGCGAAACGACAAAAGAGGAATGAAAAGTTCGGGTTCGGTGGCAAGAAAAAGTTTGCGAAGAGTGGTGATGCCATGTCGAGTGGTGATATGAGCGGGTTTAGCAGTAAAGGCATGAAGAAGAATTCGTTCGGAAGCGGCAAGAAGGTCAAGGCTCCTAGGTTGGGAAAGAGCAAGAGGCAGGGGAGGAGGTAGGTTTGAATTTTATAGAGACGGATTGGACGATAGAGAGATTGAGGTGAGGTCTTATCGATATTGAGTTTTTCTCCGAGGTTGTAATATACAAGTTAAGCATTTGAGATGTTACTAGTCTTGGACTCGCAGGTATTATGTTTGTATAATGAAGCCAAAAGTTTGCACATGGTGGAATAGATGTTCTTGGGTGGTTGGATCCGTAGGAATTTTGAGTGACTACCTCTTTGGGTACAAGATCAGGCAGCTTTTCAAGTCGATGTTTCCTCGCTTTGGTGATCGCGGAATGCATTTTGGAGCTGTAGGCTTTCATCTTCAACTAATTGACTCTAAACATGATCACGTATGATGTCACTCTTTAACTACAATAGTTTCAGCTTCAATAATATTTTATTCCCTCGTACGTGAATGCTTGAGCATATAGATCACCTTTGACCTTCAGTCGACGCTACAGTCGGCAACTGCATGATAAACATTTGAAGTCCAGTCGGCGACAGGGATGGCCGCCATGAGGCAACCATGCTGCTTCGCTTCGGCGGAAACGTGAACGTCAGCCAATCAGGGCCAACTTATCATTCGCTTTTCCCACTCATGTGCTCTCCAACCTCTCCTTCACTTCTTTTCATTCCATCATCTATCATCCATCGTCCTATCAATCATAATTATCGAAACCTCCTTCATCAGGATCGTTGGCTGGAGACGAAACGAGGGAAATCAAACCCACACCAGCCAAGCTATGCCGCTGCTCGACCCTAGCGAAGTTGCTGCCCTAGGTCTCTCTCCCAAGGACGTACCGGCTCTAAAACATCAATCTCCTGTGAAGAAACCTAGTCGGAGCAGCAACAGCTCCAAGCGCATTCAAAGCGCATCGACTACGCCACTACGGAAAACAACTCGGACGCTCACCATGAGCATGAGGTCACCTTCTTCCTCCTCACCTTCAGCATCAGCATCACCGACGCTATCAACATCAAAGTTTACATTTGAAGAGCTAGGCAACAGCGGTAACTTTGAGGTGCGGGTAATGGTCCCCTCGAAGCGAAAACTAGCTGTGCTGCAGAGATATGAGCGGTTCCCCAGAGCCGATCTGGCCACCAATGGCTTTGCTCAGGAAGAAGAGCAGAACGCGGCCAAAAGACCGCGGGAAGAAAATTCGACCGATACTAGCGAGGAGAAGGATGTTAGCGATCCAGACAAGGAATTGGGAAACCGACAGGTTGAACTAAATGGGTCCTTTGATGCTCACAAACTTGGAGATTCGTCTCACATTGGAATTGATGGATCGATGCATGGTGAGTTTTTTTGTTGAGATTAGCTCGATATCTTGAAGCTTTAATATGGGTTGAGTATACACTAACAATGTTATATAGAGCCTTCCCTGGAGAAGGAGGAGCATTCGCTGTGACATATAGCGAGCTAGCCTTCCTGTCGGATAGTCGAGGGCTACATCTATTTCTTCTCTTCCAACGGTGGTTCGCATTGAGTGTACCCCCTCAGCGACTTAATTCGATTTGTGCGTGCATGCTGAGGGGGCTCTGATGATTCAGGGCACATGGTGTTGACTGCACGACCATCAATCCCTCAATGAACGACACCAATAATTGCCATCGATCACAAATTATGCGATATATATACTTGGCTATATATACCCCCTCACGGCCGACCGAAACTGCACTTTGTTTATTTTGCTGGCAAATACTGCGACACTCCAGTTGCTCTTGGTCGGACGGCGGTAACTGTGAGGGAGGCCCCGAGTTTCCCTCATCGCCACCGCTTGGGAAGGATCTCTGGTATAAAGAAGCAGCATCTCCATTTCTCTCCAGCTCTTCTCGACTCCTTTCATCACCACCAACTTCATCTTCTCTTGAATCAATCCTTTCTCAGCTATCAGACTATCCTCTTCTTTATTTGAATCTGTTTCTGAGGTTTTTGGGCTGCTTCAATAGGTGCTGGCACCGACAGTTCTACCCAATCCTATCGATCAATTCTCATTGCTTCAAGCTACCCTCCTTCGATTATTGCATTAAATCTACAAGACTTGTTGCAACTTCGTCATCATTGCTCCTCGTAATTGATCGCGACTCTTGCTGCAAGCATATCTTGTATCTTACGGTTCCCCGGATCCGTGAGTAATTGTCACGACTAGTTCTAGTTCTTCGTCTTCCTTGAAAAACGCTGTTATCTTTATTCTTTGCATTACTATCCCTTATCACTAACTCGTTTCAAAACCTCGTTCCTTTGAACCCACGAGTTTCAGTCAGCATGGACCGAAAAGAGAATTATCAGGACCACCCTGAGGAACCACCTCGCGGACGTCCTCTGTACCGAGGACGCTCTGTTGGTCGAGACCGAAACGCCCCACCACTAGCTGAAGGACCACGCCACAGTTCCGCTGCTGCCTATGACCGTACCTCGAATTCAGAATCTTCTAACAGAGCTCGGAGAGTTAGTTATCATGGCCTCTCCGAGCGCTCTTCCCATAACCCGGGAAATACTTTCGCGCCTGATTCTAGGCCCCAGAACTTTACCCAGAATCGTGCTCGCAAGAGTAGATCTCGCTCCCGTGATCGTTTTGGAACCTCGGATCAAAATTCCATTGACCGGGAGACTCGCGATTCTCGCAGCCATCTACCATCTGTTTCACAAAGCGGTTCGAGTTACTGGCACCCCTCCCAATCTACAACTACTTACTATTCGATTCGTCGTCAATCGACTGGCTATACCGCATATCCTCAATCTGTTCACAGTACCGTATCTGCTCTCCAACAGAACTACACTACACCTGCTCGTAGCTCGACAGTCAGGGAAGGCCAGTATGCCACCTCAAGTTCCAACAACGAAAATCCACCCTCTACCTCGACTCACCGCTCTCCTCCACTTCGCATTCCCCGTTTGGAGTCTCCGGTCCACGCCCATGACAAGCGATCCTCGTCCGCATCTAGTAACTTGTCTTCTGCTCCTCCTCGCAAGAAGAAAGATGTTATTTCCATCAAAGATCAAATGGATAT